CCCCTCATAAAGAATTTCTGGCTGCGCCACTGCAACGAAGGGTGATCGGGGACTCGGAAAAGTAAAGGAACTATTCTGCCATGCTAAGGAGAAACGCCGTAAGAACATTCGAGAGTTGCAAAATTGCCTCCGATAAAATGTTTAATTTTGAGGAAAGTAGTGAATATTTTTCCTTGAAATTTTCAGACACTTTAGGTGAAATTCATCATTGAAGAAAAATATTCACAAATTTTCCTAAAAATTAGTGATTTGTCCAAGGAAACTCGGCAACGCCTGAAGGCTGATATGGCGATTTCCCTTATTAGCACGGCAGTGTTTTCACTCTGATTCTCGGAGATCTCCAGAAAAAATGCAGGGAATTGATGGTAAAAAAGGCTGTGAAAGTCTGCTAATTTTCATCGTTTAGTGGGAGAAAACCGAGGATGTACTTTTCATCGTTGTTAAGTTGGTTCTTCAGCACTTTGGAGGATGGACGATTCAATGGTCAATCCATTTTTTGATCATTTTTTAATTTCAGGAAATTTCTATAGTATTCTAATGTATTACATAACGCAGTGAATATTGCAAATCGAAAGAGAAAACGATTCACGATATTCACTTGACGCGAGTACTTTTGGAATTTTTTCAAAGTGTTCCTCGGTTAAATTTTGTGTACATGGACTTGACGTACCACACCAAGATTGCGTGATTTGATGATCGGAAAATTTCAAGACTAAATTAGACTAATTTGGTCCTGAAATCTTAGATTCATCGACTCGTTGACCGACATTCGAATCGTTCTCCTAAAAGCGGAAGAAACAACTTCAAATCAGCTAAATTTGCCATGTGTTTACCGCGTAATATAGGTGGCGTGTATACACCGAACGGAGAAGTTGCACGCACATTTTTAATCACTTCATCTGAGAGGGCTTGAAGAGCTGATTCCGCGGTATTTTTTTAATTGAAATATCAATTCGAAGCATGATGTCTAAAATTCTTCACTATGCTCATCCCTTGATGTTTCCCTCATTTTCAGTAGCTCCTTCCCTGATGAGAAACCGAAATTTCCACTCGCATTCCCGGAATGTTCTTGAGAAAACTATATAATTCTCCGGAACTCCGAATATGAATATCAATTTTTTTCCCCAACTTTCAGCCGATTCTTTGGCGCAAAATAGAATTTTCAATTCCAAAATTTCAGATGTTTATTTTATCCGGTCAATAAAAGTTTCTCTAGTTGTCTGTCAATTTGAAGATTCAAGAGGTCTATAATGGCAGATCAGGTGCAATAACGGCAGGGTCGGACTGGCTCGCATCTGAGGGCGTAGACCCTTGGCTGGTTAAAGGGGCGCAATGTGATATTTCTTGATTGGGCATCTCCTTCGTGGAGAGGGGTTCAGAAAATTTTGGCAAATCAGCACAAGTTTACGCTATTTTCAGGTTCAAAGTTTATTAATCGTACAGAGTAACAATTGTAAAATTGAACGTATTGAAGTGACCGACAGACTTCTGAAATTAAAGAAAACAAAAATATTAAAGCCACTGGACGCATCCAAGAACCATTATTTCCATAAGAACCGTGTCAGTGCTGCGGTTTACACGAGCTTAAGACGTGAGTCTAAAAATCCATCCTAAAAAAGAATCAGGCAAGAACCTGAAAAAAGAAGAAAGAACAAGTATAAACACAGCCGACGACAAGAAAGACGTATTCGGGCCTCTTTTTTAACTTTTCTCCCGAATCTGGGCGACACCTCATAGGCACCATACATATAGCAGGGCATTGAGAACTCACGCTTCGCGTCATCGCGCCTTCAATTTTTTAGATGTAGCACGGACGTCCATCAAGTACGAATAGTTGTATCTCTGCGCCGTCGTTAACGCGCATCCTTTCCCTCCCTCTATTTCCATGTTGTGTTCGTTTCCGTTTGTCTTATTTCTAATGTTGCTTTAAACTAGAGCAGAGCATTGCGACTTCACGACTCACGCCATCGCGTCTTACATTTTTCAAATGCAATGTGGACATCTATCTTGCGAGAATAGTTGTATCGCGTTTACACTTTGGATGTCTCTTACTATTGAATTTCGAAATAAATCAAGGTTAAGTTTGCCCGAGGTATGCTATGATATGTCCAATTCAATAGTCATTTTGAAAAGGAAGAAATATGTTTAAAGGTCTCTCAAGAGGTCTATAAAAGTGTGCGTATGTCTAAAAATCGAACCGGCTATCGCTTCTATGGGAGTTACACATAGAAAATGAAGGAGGGGGATGATAAAGCGCCTGTATGTCAACAAAAAGGTGACAATTTCACAGAAAAGTGTTTACGCTTCAGAACGTTGTTCTTGGACCTCTGTTCACCACTATACTTAAAAGCATCTCTCCTCACTCCTGACTC